ATAAACTTTTCTCTTTCTCCTACACTCATTCCATCTGGATCATAATCGGTAACTGGTGGGTAATCTCCAACATATTGTGCGTTCTCGGGTTTGTTGAAAAAGTGAGGGAAGTATCCTTTCTTCAATTCGGTGATACCAAATGTCTTTGGTAAATCTCGAAGTGGCATAGCTAAAAAGTTTAAGGAGTCGACAAATTTGACACATCCCAGTTGAATGGTCATGACTTTTCCACCATTCAATATGACTTTGGGTACGTCCATGGCGTGTTTGTGCAATCCTTGCAAAATGATCATCCCATCGTATCCTCGGAAATTATGTGCCACGGCAACGATGTTTTGACTCTTGGTGGTAGCACAACCTCCGGGAGCGACTTTCTTGGCCGATAAGTGTACAAAAAACTTGGCCACTTCATCCAAAGTGTTGGGTCCTGAGAAGATGATTTCCTTTTGGTGGTTCCAAGTTGAATCGCAGTGTTGACATGGAGTGGATTGTCCGATGCAGAAGTGACAACACAGTTGTAACACACATAAATTAGGTATGTGTTCCCCGGTATTTTGGTGACACTCGAAATCGTAAAAGACGAATCGGGTCACATCTTTGTCTTGTTTTTCTTCCACTTTGGTTTTGTCAATGTCTATGGTCTGAATGTAACACCATTTATCGCCTTTACCGTGCCATTTTCGACATATCTTACACTCGTACTCTCCACAAATATGTTCTTCCAATAGTCGGCCTCGTTTTCTCGTGTCCCATTCCTTACAACATTTAGTGCATTTTTTCCATTTGTTACAGGTGGTGATGGCGTTGAGGGTGGTTCCAGTTTTGTGAGCTTTAAAACATTCTTCACTGAAAAAGGTTCGATGACATTCTAAACAGTCTCGAAGTGTATCGGTGGGACAATCTTTGCCTGGGCGGCGACAAGCACTGCATACGCTGATACATGTATGTGTCTCGATATTGTTGTAACCTTTTCCACACAAGTCGCAATAATAATTCCTTTCTAGAAAGGCAGGCATTGAGACGATGACGTCATAATGGTGGTCATGATGATAGAGATGAAGTTTTTTAGGGGTACCGGAAACTTTGCCTTTGTACAATAATTTTCCAAATAGGAGTCTAGAATACACAAACAGTTGGTAGCCTTGTTGTCCTAAAGTTTGTTGGTACAACTCCCAGGTTTCATGTCCTTGACAAGCTTCAGGACGTGCTCCGACTTGTTCAATCAATCGTTCGGTGCATTTCGTCTGCCAACTGTAAGGTCCTGAACTTTTTGTTAAGCGTTTTCTTTGTGTCTCCCACTCTGGTGTGTCGTTTTTATTGGCGTAGTGTTTGGCGATGACAATAGCTCGTTGAAAGCATAAATTATCTTTGTTTTTGACCACTACGATCGACCTCTTTCTCTTTAAATAATCTTCGAGTGATAATGATTCTCGTTTTAATAGATACCTGCCTTGACCATCTCCTTTGGGAACACTCACGTGACACACATGAAGTGTCATACGTTCATCTAATCTAAACTGTTCATTGGACTGCAGAATTCTCGCCACAGGGTTCAAAATATCTTGAGCTCTTATCCCCGACCATTTGTTGAATGGAATCCAAGCTGGTGATTTCAATCCCGGGTGTGACACGCTGAATCTCACTTGGTCGTCTGGGTCACAACTCAAATAGTTTCCAATGTCCCGGATAATTTGGTTAAAAGTATTATCCAACTGTTGAGGAACTTCTGCTGGTAAAACATTATTCCAATTCTGTGTAAAGTCCACGTTCAAATACACGGAGTTGGTATGAAATCTTCTGCTGTATTTTCTATCGCCAAGTCGTAGTTGATATGCCATCTTCGCAGGTTGCTCTGATAGTGAATCTAGACATCCACATCAGCCGTTAAATAGTTAAAAAATCACGTGACGTTATAAGCATGCGCATTCACACACAATTGGTTGTTAGAAATCACGTGTTCTGTGTGACGTCATTTGTGCCTATTTAACAGAACGCTGAGCCATTCTTGCCATCATTTCCACAATGGGCAATTGTAGGCTGGCTATGGGCTCAAGAAAAACGCTGTTTGGAGATTGCTTTGAAGTACTACAAGGACAATCCTAAACAGTGTTGATCTTGACACCCACCCCATGTCAGGCATAGCTTGACAGCCCTTTTTAGGGCAACAAATCAAATGAAAAGAGATTTTATGATATTTTACAATTCTTTATTTCAACAAGACATTTTAAATAACATTTTAAATATTTAAACATTTTAACAATAATTCTGCTTTATTCATTTTGTCCACTTCCATGTCTTCTAATACTTTTCCATTTTCGTCTACTTTCATGATCCATAAATAAATTCCCATGGAATCTGGAAAATCAAAGTCGTGTTTTTTGGCTGCAGACAAACACGATCTAAAATCGGGATATACTTTATGACTGGTTGCCATGGTACTGGTTTGGTCTCTTAATATTCCTTTCCATTCGTAAACATAACCTTTTCGATAAGATTTGGGTTTGACCATTTTCAGGTAAAGACAGTGTGGGGAATGACGTCGATGTTCATCCCAAGCACAATCGTCAGACTGCCATTCTTTCAGTTTATGGCGACACACAAAACATTCTACAGTATCTTCGTATTGAAGGTAATAAAACCCAGCTTCAGCCAAAGAGATTGGTGTAGGTTTAGATTTAGGCCAATCGACAAACGTCTCTAAACGATCCTCAAACAACAAGTATGACCGGAAATAGTCACGTGATCTAACACGTGATCTGTGGCCTTATAAAACCGCGTACCATGCCAAGTAAAATCATATTCGCCATGGACAAGTCAGATTTCAAGGAATGCGACATTTGTCATAAGACAAGGCCTATGGCCTATTACCATCACCCAGAGGATGACTGGTTCCAGTGTCTATGGTGTATGGCCATAGTTCGCCCTACCTTCTGGAGGATTTCCAAACATAGACGGATCTGTGCGAAAAAACCGAAAGAAATCTGTACTTGTCGTCGGTCCTACTTTGATTAGACCAAGTCTGATCGCCCAAGTCCAATAAAAAAACAGCCCTTTTCAGGGCTACCTAATCAAAATAAAAGAGTTCCCTTTTCCTTGGGTTTTACCCCTTGAGATTTCCCTTTGGGATTTCCCCTTGAGGTTTTACCCTTGGGATTTCCCCTTCCCTTGGATTTCCCCCTTGGGATTTCCCCCTTGGGATTTCCCATGACGTCATCGGCATTCCCGTAGGGGTTTCCCCAATGACGTCATCTCCCTAGCAACGGAAGTCGCGCATGCGCATCCTTAAACCGGATGTGACGTCATCCCTAGCAACCATTATGACGTCATCCGTTGCCTAGCAACCAAAGTTCCTAGCCCTATCCCCCTACTACTAGCGTCTTGTTGCATGCCTCTTGGAGCGACTGCAACGCATCTTTCAAGAAAATTTTCAACACATTCTGATACACATTTTATGACAAGAACGAATAAAAATCATATTGTTAAAATTTGTTGAAAATAAAGTTGGGGTACAATATTGGGGGTGCATATCATTGTCCTAGGGGTCAATTGTCTTCCCTGTATCTCCATTGCTATTTTTCCATAATGAAATTTCAATTTTGTCAGGAAATGACATGTCTTATACGAATTATGGGGCATTAACATACACTCGGCCAAGTTACTTTTTTTAATAATACGAATGTGGGCGATGCGTTAAAATACGTTATAGGCTAAGGCTTATAGAGTGGGAGCAGGTATTTTGCGCCTAGAAGTTATAGAGAATTAACTCAGGACGAAAAATCCATTTCCTTCCTTATAAAGTGACACAATTATATTATGCTATTGACATTTTTAACCATAGATATCATTTGAAGGTTGCTATTTTCTGCACTATGTATATTAGTGGTAGTAATGAAGTATAGGCTAGTAGTGATTTTAGATCTTGTGACGTTCATATTCAAATACTGTACAATAAGATAGGTCTAAATATATCACCAGGGAACACCCACGTTTAATCACTTTGTATGTTTGAGACCATAAGCATTTGTATAGTCAGTAACTTTTATTTATGAAAATGAAAGTGGAAGCTTTTTTAACCAGTACGCCATATTCGACGTTTTAGAAATTACAACATCATTATCTATTGGGGAAATAATTAGATGAGCTGATATCTTACTTTAGCTCACTTGAAAAATATTGACGAAACAGGAAGATAAAAACAATATACATAATATTTACCTCAGAGAGCCTAAAAGATTATTGAGCATACCTGCACATAGATAATTGCAATGTAAAAGCTGAATGGAAAGTGTCTTGCCTCCCGGAAGCACTTAAAAGAACGTTGCATTAACATTTCTTAAAAATAGACAGAAAGTGGGTCAGACTGAAAATTGGTCTGACTTGTGACCACAAATATTTCATCTGAACAAAAAATTACTCTAAAAGAAATGGACAAAGACTTCATACATACTAGGAGAATAATTAATATTTACTTGATCCCTTATCGAAGTTATTTTACTACTATATGTTATATTATAAAAGTAATTCTCCCTTGATCCAACAACTTTTGTCTGAGCAAATCAACAAGTTTTTTTAATTGTTCTATATTTTAATGAGAATTGGAATATCCGCCTCAAAATAGTACTGTTAGTCTTGAGGTGCGGCCACACGAGCGGTCTTTGTAAGAGATTTTTGTCGTCGATTAGAGTTTGGAGAAAAATCTCGCGTGTGCCCATGCTTCCTCGACAGTGGCGGAGCCACAGGGGGGACAGGGGGGTGGGGCCGAAGGCTAGTTTTTCGGGCAAGGCATTAAAAAAAAAATTTTTGAACGGCCCGATTTTTTTTTTTTTTTTTTTTTGGAATTTAAAAATGAAAAATTCCCCCCCCCCCCCCCCCCTGGGACGTAAACGTGGCTCCGCCACTGTTCCTCGATAAGAATATCAAGCTTATTGATAGTTTTATCGCCTGCAAGACAGACGGTCCTCATCCAATCAGATAAAACGACCGACTAGAGATTTTTGTCTCCTAGTGTGTCCGTGCCAGTCGTTAAAACTATAATTTTTTTTGTTTGCATTGAAAAGAAACACATTTTTCTACTTGAAATTTCAACTGAAAAGTGTAGCTATTAAAACACAAATTTTGAAGACATTCTGACATTGTGTGATCATGATTTTCAACAACGCAAAGACCTGGGTATATTTTTGAATAGGGAATCTAGCTAATGGTCTATTATCGCCAGAAGCAATACTAATTAAAGTTCTGTTTTGTACCTTTTATATTATTTTTATAATTCTTTATGTTTACAGGAATCATTCGACTTTCGGAAATAATTTACAGCAGGAAAAGTTTGTGAATGTGATGTAGATGCATACTCTATTGTCAAAAGTGAGGATTATCATCTGTAAGCAATAATTTAGATACGTTATACGAAATGAGTTCTTATGTAACCCTACAGACTGTCTCTGTGATATACAATTTACTTATCGGAAATGGAGCCTCTTCCATGGTGTTTAAAGCTTTTGATAAGGTGAGTTTCTATATAGCTTTTTCTTTTTACAGTCCTGATTCCCAACTTATTAGTCCATGAACCTCCTAATCTTGACCTTCAGCAAAGGTTTAGAATGTTTAAAAACAGTTTATCTCATGTAATAAACGACATAAAGCTTGATATGCTACCTCCTGTACCACTTATTCTGTCACTAGAACCACGACCTCAACCCCCAACCATGAAATTTTCTCAAATTCAATAACTATTTTTAATATGGTACCCCCTAAAATACTTGTTGGTAACTCCAATGGATACTAAAAAAGTAGACTAATGACGCGAGTGGACATCATAATACGTGAATTTAACATTGGTTCTGTATCCTACTACAAGGTAGACCGAAACATCTACCTCTATTCCAGATTCTGATAGATATTTTTAAAGTTAGAAACTGGAGTAGATGCAGATGTTTCGGACTAACTGGAAGAGTATGGTTTATGAATAATTTCCCAGGGATTCAGTTTTCTATCAATACAGATATTGTAAATATTCCAGAGAACGGGGGAGCAGAGAGCTGCTAAAGTTATAAAAGATAGATCTAAATATAACCTACTAGATTTAAACCGTGAAGTTACAACATTAAAGCATCTAAATCATTCAAATATTGTTAAATTATATGGTAAAGAAACCGAGGTAAGTGTTTGTTATTTAAATATTGTTAAATTATATGGTAAAGAAACCGAGGTTAGTAAACGTTATGTAAATATTGTTAAATTATATGGTAAAGAAACCGAGGTAAGTGTTTTTATTTAAATATTGTTAAATTATATGGTAAAGAAACCGAGGTTAGTACACGTTATATAAATATTGTTAAATTATATGATAAAGAAACCGAGGTTAGTACAAGTTATTTAAATATTGTTAAATTATACGGTAAAGAAACCGAGGTTAGTAAACGTTATGTAAATATTGTTAAATTATATGGTAAAGAAACCGAGGTTAGTGTTTTTATTTAAATATTGTTAAATTATATGGTAAAGAAACCGAGGTTAGTGTTTTTATTTAAATATTGTTAAATTATATGGTAAAGAAACCGAGGTTAGTGTTTTTATTTAAATATTGTTAAATTATTTAGTAAAGAAACCGAGGTTAGTACACGTTATATAAATATTGTTAAATTATATGATAAAGAAACCGAGCTTAGTACACGTTATATAAATATTGTTAAATTATATGGTAAAGAAACAGAGGTTAGTACAAGTTATGTAAATATTGTTAAATTATATGATAAAGAAACCGAGGTTAGTACACGTTATTTAAATATTGTTAAATTATATGATAAAGAAACCGAGGTTAGTACAAGTTATTTAAATATTGTTAAATTATATGATAAAGAAACCGAGGTTAGTACAAGTTATTTAAATATTGTTAAATTATATGATAAAGAAACCGAGGTTAGTACACGTTATTTAAATATTGTTAAATTATATGATAAAGAAACCGAGGTTAGTACAAGTTATTTAAATATTGTTAAATTATATGATAAAGAAACCGAGGTTAGTACACGTTATATAAATATTGTTAAATTATATGATAAAGAAACCGAGGTTAGTACAAGTTATTTAAATATTGTTAAATTATATGGTAAAGTAACGAGGTTAGTACACGTTATATAAATATTGTTAAATTATATGGTAAAGAAACCGAGGTTAGTACACATTATGTAAATATTGTTAGATTATATGATAAAGAAACCGAGGTTAGTACACGTTATATAAATATTGTTAAATTATATGGTAAAGAAACAGAGGTTAGTGTTTTCATTTAAATATTGTTAAATTATATGATAAAGAAACCGAGGTTAGTACACGTTATATAAATAGTGTTAATTATTTGATAGAGAAACTGAGATTAGTACAAGTTATGTAAATATTGTTAAATTATATGGTAAAAAAACCGAGGTTAGTATTTTATTTAAATATTGTTAAATTATATGGTAAAGAAACCGAGGTTAGTACACGTTATATAAATATTGTTAAATTATATGATGAAAAAAACTAAGGTTACTACACGTTATGTAAATATTGTTAGATTATAAGGTAAAGAAACCGAGGTTAGTGTTTTTATTTAAATATTGTTAAATTATATGGTAAAGAAACCGAGGTTAGTACACGTTATGTGAATATTGTTAAATTATATGGTAAAAACCGAGGTTAGTACTTGTTATGTTAATATTGTTAATATATTTGACAAAAAAAAACCGCGAATTGATCACGTTATAATTTATTTTGCATGTGACTATTATCTTTCAGATTGGTACCGGACGTGACGTATTGATTCTCGAATACTGTCAGTCTAGTCTTTATTCTTTTCTACAAGAACCAGAAAATTTACACGGCCTCAGAGATCAGGAATTTTTGACTTTATTCATCGATATTGGTATGTTAACATATAAAATAAAAATCACCAGAATAATAAATCACTACAAGTTATTGTATTTTACAACGGTATCATATCATAGTGACTTTACTCGTATACTAGTTGTGTTTAAGTCAAATGAAAAGCCCATATAGAGTAGGTCTACTGTGTGCACATAAGTCATACAATAACTTCCTTGTAGATACTGAACGAATTTCAATACATTTAACCAATACACATAGCCTTTTTTATCAAAGGTAGTTTGTGTTTAACCTATGAGTATAAAGTATTTCAAATTTATCGGATTCAAGATCGCTATACACAGTGTTCTTTGAAGCCTTTCGATTACAAGATTTAAAATCCTGCAGAAGAAAATACAATAAAAGGGACACCTTTGTCGACCCCAATTCCAATAAACAAATTTCTCAGTTAAAATTGTGGACTTATCCCTATTCGTATGTCTGTATTAGATTTCTATTGCGTTCTATTTGCACAAGTTTCCCCCCAAACAGACCTTCACTAAATCAAAATTTAGGCGATACTTGCTGACGTATTTCATAGATGAGGTCTAAGGATAAATTTGATGTCGGTAAATTTTTGATTTAGTGTTTTAATCAGTCTAATCAAAGTTAGACCAAACTTTCGCTCCGTTGTTCTTTTGACATAACTCGATGACGCCTGCTTAAATCAGTCAAATTTCTACCTTTCCAGTGCTTTCATTTTGGGACACAGGTTCGGTCAAAAGGTTAATTTTACGAACGTTCAAGAGGTCTGTCGTTAGACCCTAACTAAAGCGGGTATATTAATATAAAGGAACGAAAGTTTGACCTAATTTTAATTAAACTGTATTTTAATTTAGATATATTTGAGGATGAATTTGACGTCGATTTTTTTTATCGACGTCAAATTCATCCTTAGGCCTCGACTTTAAAGGTATAAGACATAAGGTTGTGCTGTAGTATGAACAAGTATCCCTTCCCCCATTTAGAATGTTTTAATAGACCGTGTCATACATCTTTTATTTACTAGCTTCCGGTTTTCAATATCTCCATAGTAACGGTATAATTCACAGGGACTTGAAGCCCGGGAATATTCTCAGAAAAATTAAACCCGATTTGAGGTAAGAACCAGTATTATTATTGTTCGTTGCAGTTAAATTCTGACATTCTGTAAACGGCATTTTTACATGAGTTTTTGTGAGTTCCCACTGAAATATGGTAAAATCAAAATACATTTTTCATTTTATTCTATTCCATGTACTCTATAAGAAATGTAGAAACACTCACACGATTGTTCATTAATTTCAATCTGATAAAAACTTTGAAACAACATCGCATTCCCTAAAAACCATGTTCGAATATTCAATGAAAATATCCATAAAACAAAATTTTGATAGAAAATTGTAGGCGAAAAGTATTGGAATTATTATTAATGTTGTTCACCTAAAGGATACTTTTACTGACTGATCCAGGACATAGTGAAATCGACATGTTTTCCTATGATTTCTGTCATTGTTAATTGTAGAAAATCATGGCTACATTTGATATGTTTTCTTGTAACACTCTCTATTCGCGCAAAGAGATAACTTTTGTTAAATTCCATACACTTATCACGATGGTAATAAGGCCAATTCCATACACTTATCACGATGGTAATAAGGCCAATTCCATACACTTATCACGATGGTAATAAGGCCAATTCCATACACTTATCACGATGGTAATAAGGCCAAACTTGGTCTTGCTGAGTTTCTGGTTGCCCTGGCAGCTCTGTTTGTTGAAAGAATTTATCTGCTATCTTCAGGGTAAAAAGATCGTAATATAGCCTAATCACATAGACTTCTAATTTAAATGGTTTTACGGGGACTGACTTATAGTCCAATACACTGGTAGTCTTTTGTATTCTGAAGAAATGATTTCCTTGTGAAATTGTTGTGCTTCTGAGGTCAATTTATGTGATTCTAAAACAGACCAGCATGCATAATGAAAGTCAATTATTAACCAAATAAGTCATACTTCATTTTAAATCCATGCTTATGAATTGTAGCCCAATTTACGTCATCAGTGATTTTGGAACTAGTAGAAGATTAGAAAATCCGGAAGAAGAATATTTTTCTTTGGTTGGGACTGAGGAGTTTCTGGTATTTACTTTTAGAATGATAATTCCATTGCCACTTTCAGTTTTCATGGACTTATATTTCTTCAGAATTTGACAAAATCTCTCAGATTTTGAGATATTAATCGTTGTTTTCCCTTGAAAAGTGCGTATCATGTGTGATTATTATATCTACCATGCTTTCTCCCAGGTCCGCGTCTTTTTAGATTATTTGCTTAATTTGTTTTAATGATTGAATTTTTTGCGTTCATTCATTGGTTGATGACATCATGACGTTATCCGTTCCTGTCAATACGGTTGTGGAACTGACGACTATCTCCTATGTCGGATTCTTTAAATATGATAGTGGTAGCTTTTATTATCATAGAATTATATTTTGTTATTTCAATTTGTTCAGCATCCAGCAGTATATCAAAAAGCATTTATAGACAGACAACAAGTCACACCGTTTAACAGTGGTACAGATTTGTGGAGTTTTGGTTGTACTTTATTCCAAGCTATCAGTTCCAGGATGCCGTTTATACCATTTGATGGTGCCAGGAACGACAGAAAAATTATGTAAGTGTTTTTTGAGTTTGGTATCAAATTGGTTTCTTTCTTTTTTTCTGATATTTTTCATCTCCATTCTAATCTATTGACGTTATTTATGACAGTTTCTTGTTAACGATTTGTGGGATAGAGAGAAATAGAATTAAATATGGAATTATGACTGAATCTTTATTGTAGTTATAAGTATTACCGTTCAATCAAATTCGAGTCTTTATATATCTCCAGGAATATATCCGGACATGACGTATGCTATTTTGGTGACCTCCATCAATATAAGACATTTTGGATAGGTCCTTTGATAAACTGGTAGAAGGTCTTACTAAGCTAACTCTTGATTTCCAGGTTTCAAATGGTGGCGTTAAAACCTTCAGGGTGTATTTCCGCCTACCAGAATAGTCCAGGAGGTGATCCTATTTGGGAGAACAAATTTCCCGATCACTGTCCTATGTCAAGGTAAAGGTGGTATTGGAGTATGTGGATATCTTGGCTTAGCTTGGTACACAATGTATAACAAATATATTTCTGTCCGATTATTTGGAGCTCTCGAACTGCCCAAAACGTCGATGTTCTGTGGTGAATAAGTCATTCTGGAACACTCCCTCACAGGCTCGTAGCTAGATCTAATTGTTCGGACAGACAAGTAATATATCCGGAGGAACAATGGTGCATTACAGTTTTTTTTCAGGGGATTGTGTGGGTCTACGGGTCTCTCCTTCAGACAATGCTCCTGAATAACACGAAGTCAAGTGATGTGTTTCTTATTCAAAATCTTGCTTTTAACTACATGCAGTATAGCCTATCATTGTCCCAATCAAGTGCATTTCAATTTTTTCAGTAACCTTCAAGAAATAATGCGACCAATTCTCTCTTCTCTGATGGAAGCCAGTCCAAGTAAACAAATGACGTACGAAAACCTATTTATATCAAAAGATCGTCTGTCTACGATGTTTAGATTGGAGGTACACCTAGCCAGTGATGGTACAACCCACACACTTTACCTAGATCCAACAAAAAGGTTCGTTTCCTTCCACTGCAGGACCCTCGTTTATGGATAATGATAACGATTATAATGAAAATTACATCAAATCAGATTCAGTCAGTCAAGTATGATTATCTATCTATCATTGGGTATCGAATCTATTTTGTAATCGATACAGAGCTACTATGTTCGGGTAACACAGTATGACTACGCTGATAAGGAAGTGTAATTTTGACTTCGACACCTCCCGTCGGTCCTTCTATTCGCTATTCGATATTTTGATATTCAGATCAAATTGACTAGGCAAAATGGCTTCCTGGCGGCATGGAATAGAGTTCCCTGCAATTTTATTGACACAGGTGTGTTCATAAGGACCCATTGTAGCTCGATCTTGATGAATGTTTTTCGAATTCTACAGCCGATCATTTCTGTTGATAAGGAGCTTTCCATGTAGATCTACAATACTGAGAAACTGCTTTCGTTAGTGTATCCTAAAAAATGATAAATAAGAACAATAATTTTGCAATTTTGACTAATAAATCTCATCAATCTCATCCTATCACCAAGAAGTTTGAAGACATGATATCAAATGAAGTCAGTTAATACAGATGTGAAGACAAGAGAGATAATTTTACCCAAGGAGTACCATGCATGGAACAAAAAGGTTTAGAATTTTCATGTGATGTTTCCGTCCACTGTAAAGAGAAACGTTCGATGAGCTGTGTATTTTAAAGAGAAAATTTAAATACTCAAAAGCGGAGCAGATAAAGATTTGAATGAATTTATGATGGCTTGTTGTCATTCCTAAACAAATTGTTGAACCAGAATTTTTCATACAAACTCTCGCTAATCTTTCAGCTTTAGGTGCGAATCTGTTTTTACGCAGAGTTGCCGCCCTAATTATGTCCTATATATGACGTTACTATTGCAAAAGCTGATATAGTTACAAGATCCATATACCTGTATATCTAAAAATTCGAATGGTGCAAGACAATGCGATTGATTTTCCTTATACATATTATAAAGTTAAGAAAACCTCTTTACAATCACTTAAAGCAAGAATTAATATCACCATAATGATCACGATTCCTGGAAACGCAAAATCTCTTTTTTTCTGTCAGTTTTGCAGAACTACAAAAACAGATAGCCCAGTATACAGATATATCAGCTGGACGTCAAGTATTATTTTATAATGATCAGATACTAGAAAACTTGATACAGAAAAATCTAAATTTAGATGAGCTATTACATCAACCACCTTCAATAAACTATCTTACATTGATGGATAAACACAAAGATCAGAAACTAGCTCCATATGAAATAGGTAAGAATGTTCCCATTAGTACATATTTCACATTTAAGGTTTTGGTGAGGCATTGGAGGAACTCTAACGCTTTGTCGATTAAGCATTAAAGGGACAGTTCCGCCATTTTTTTTACTAATTGTACCTTAGTTTCCGTCCACAATTGCTCATAAACACTCTAGAAGGCACAACTCTTGAATAATTTTGAGGAAACCTGGTATGATTGTTTGCTATCACCCAAGGATGAACCTTATCAAAAATCAGAAAAATCGAAAAAGGTTATGGCCATTGTTCTTGAAATGCTCGTAAATACTCTAGAAGGTGTAATTCTTGAAGGATTTTTGTTTTGCTATCACCCAAGGATGAACCCTATTGAAAATTAAAAAAAAAGAAAAATAATTATTCGGAGTTATTCCCTTTTTCTTAAAAACGCATTCAAGTTTTAACCTGTAAAGACCCACCTTAGAAGGCCCAATTCTTGACAGATTTTGACAAAACTTGGTAAAATTATACAGTATCGCCCCAAAAAGTTCAAAAGAAGTATAAGACTGAAGGTTGAATATTTCATACTGGTGATTGTTACTGTACTGCCAAATATTTTTATTCAAAATCATCAAAGCTGCCAGTTGTCGTATATTACTGTGCCTGGCAAGATATCTTCATGAGACACTACCATATAAAGAAAAGACATCTATAGAAATAGGAAAAGAAATTCTTAGTTTGAGATATTTTCGAAGGAATTATGAGAGTTTCTTAAATTTCTAGTACTTTGTATGACAATTTACATAATATATTCAATACTCAAATCAACCTCTTATAACGGTACACCTGACCCTTTAACAAGGTTGAAATCTTGATGTACAGTTTCCTCAAAAAATCCGGGGAAACAAATTTCATTAAGGATCCTCTCTACCAGCTTGACCTTCACCAAATTTATTCAAATTGATCTTTCCCGGATTAGGCATATTCGTACTCATTTACAGCTAAATCGAGGAAATATGACTGAGCTGAAATTAGAGCCCATGACCACCATTTTTCGACGTAACCAATCAAATGACTTAATATAAAAATAACCCTAACCGATTGTGCTATGGAAGCCCGATATTAGCCTACAATAGGTACACATTGTGCATCTTATTTATTTTCATATGAGTTACAAATGATGTCTATTTTATGTTTCAGAACCGTTCCCGGTTTACCATAACACTAATACTATTAATCAAGATTATCAAGTAACTTCTAAACGATGTGAAATTATTAATAATATCATGTTATTAGTATCTCAATCTCACAGTTTTCAACTCAATATCACCAAAACAGTCTCAGCAATGTGGTAAGTGATATGTCATATAGTCAACAATGTATTATGAAAGTAGCTTTAGGGGACTATGAGGAGATTTTTTTTCTGATTTTTTTGTGTGTATTAGTAGGGACACTGATAGCATCAATGTACATCATTCCAATTTTAAATGATACGTCTGTGGTTCCTGTAATTCCACTAAAACTGTGTGTTTGGTTCAGTCGCTGACCACGAAAGCATCAGTATGTTTTGCGATTAGTGACGTCATCCCTTAAAATTTTAAACTCAAATGTCAAATTATCCAAATCCATTTTCCCTTTGTAAAAATTCAGTATTTAAGTCAGAATTATGTTGATGCTAAAATTGTGTCTTAATTTCTAGTAACTGTTTGAGCATTTCAATTGGGCACCCCTTGAGTGATATCTTTTCTTTGGTATGCTATCTTCAGGAAACGCTAAAATTGTTGTAATATAAAATGCTTTAAACTTGTGACATACACCGAGGAGGTATTTGTCCATTTTATTCCAATGCTGTATATGTATTGTGATGATATTACCATTCCATTTAGGACTATGTTGAAAACGATGTTTCTTAAAGTTGAGAAAAACTATGAATGTCTAAAAGAATTACGAGATCAGACCATATTTCATATTCAAAACCTGAAAGGTGAAAAGAAAAAAAGATATTTCTCACAAGTTTTCTCTAAAAAACACCAGAGCAGACACAATGAAGCGGAAGAAATTCTAGATATGATGAACGAGGTTGGTTTTTTTCAAAGAGTCAAAGGAAGTTGAGTATAGGAAGCACTTTTTGTTTCTATTGCACCATTCTTAATTTCTTATATTTGGTCCCTGTGAATACATCACACTACCTATTTGAGCCCCCGATGTTCCGTGATTCATCTTTAGGTTATTCAATCTTTCTTGAAGGAAAAAGCTAAGTACTGACGAAACAATATCTTTGAATTTATATTATTAAGATAACCTCATATAAAATCTTTGTGGACTCGATGCTAAGCTGACCAACTCACAAGGAAACAAATGAAAATCCCAAACTTTCTCTGAACTTTGACAAAAATATCAAATGAAACATAAAATTCCATAATTCTACATTTGGAAATTTGTAAACAATTTATACATGTATACAAACATCTACACGTATATATACATATATATTTACACATACACTTACACATATATTCATACATATATTTACATATATATTTACACATATTTGTATATTTACATTAACACTTACACATATATTTACATATATTTAAATATTTACACATGTAATATATTTACATACGAAATTACGAATAGAATAACATTTACATATACATTTACATATACATTTACATATACATTTACATATACATTTACATATACATTTCGTGTACATTTACACATATATTTACAAAACCATTTACAC